CCTTGGAATCTATACATTAATGCCGACTGGGTGAAAAGGACATGTTTCACAAAAGCCTGGACATTGCTTTGCTGTGGCAGAAACTTTTTCCCACTGTATTAGTGTTAAAAATAAAAGAAAGCCTGGGAAAGGGATCGCTCTAGCATTGTGTGCTGGAGGAATGAGGCGCGCTTGAATGGAAAGGCAGGGTCCCCCATCACATCTGTACCCCTATCAGCAAAATCCACTCAGCCTTCCCTGGTTGCTCCTACAGTGTGGGCCAGTGTACTCAGGGAGATGTTTGACAATTGTGTCTATAAAATACCAACTAGGTTTGTCAAGTCAGGTTTAAGTCTGTCTCTGTGCTTTTTAATGAAGTTGGCAACAATTTACAGCAATAATATTAATTCAGACTATTTAACAGAAAATTTTTTGTGATTATCTATATAAGGTTACCTGTTTATTTAGGTAGACTTGACAAATTGGGTCAAACAAGCATTCTGAATTTTTCTTAGGAGATTGTGTGTGTGATTTTATGACAGCTTTTGTTGTTGGCCATTTCCAACTCTTAAACAACTTCCATTATTACTTCAATGTCTCTTTTCCCTAAGGCCGAGAATTGGGATGTCCTTTAGATCTTTTGGCAATCCAAGATTCATTCCTCAGTGATTCAGTGCTCTGCAGTGAAAAAACCACCAAAAGGCATGGTTCTAATCCACCCTGTCACTAGCTGTGTAAAATTTGGACAAGTCATGTGGCCATTGAGAGCCTCAACTTCCTCTTACATCAAATAGTAATAAGAACTGTCCTGAAAACACATAGAGTTGTTGAAGTAGCGAATGAAATGTTACACATGAAAAAGTTTGTGTACTATAAAATGATACGTGAATATTATTATTATGATAATTATGACAGAGTTTCTAAAAATTATAAGACGCCAACTCTTCATCACATATGACATCTCTAGTGATGTCGTCATGACTGGTGCTATGAGCTAATGTGTTTAAAGAGTGTTTTCAGGGTCTCCCCTTGTAGCGCAGTGGTTGAGCGCTGGGTTGTGAGGCTGCCCCAGCCTCTGCAGTGCCAGTTTGATCCCCAGCCACCAGTGAGGGTCCCACTAAATAAATAAATAAATAAATAAATAGTGTTTTCACTTGTGTAGGAAAATTTATTTTAATAAATTCATCTTACTCAGAAATAGTGATCTTATTGAGACACAATCAGTTTTAGTGTTTACTATTTTATTTAAATGAAAGAAACATTGGTGATAGTAAAATTGTACCTAGAAAGCTATATTTTAGTGCCAGGAACAAGCTGTTTTGTTTTTTGTTTGTTTTTTTTTTAAGATTTATTTATTCATGCATACAAGAGCTGGGGTGTAGGCCAGAGTTGCGGGGGGAGGGGTGAGAAGATTCACCAGAGACAGAGTGGGGAGCAGAACAGGCAGATCTATCGAAATACACTGCTGAGGGAAGCAGCAAGCCAGTCAGGAGAGGTCTCCTGCGCCATGTGGGTTAGTTGCCTGGCTGCGGATCAAACTTGTGCTGCAGTGGCTGCTGATAGCTTCATAGTGCTGAGACTTAACCCCTAGTGCCACCAGGGAGGCCCCTTGTTTTGTTTCTTGTACCCATTTATAAAATTAAAACAATGTTCTTAAAGGTCAGTGAATGAGACTATGTTGGTCTCAGTCAAGAAACATAAATGCCTAGAAACATAAATGCCTTTCAAATACATGGCTAGGTTTAGAAATAGCTGAGGACATACCGGACAAACCTTTTCACACACATTTATAATACAACAGTCCGGACACCTAAGGGCCAGACTTCATTCAGAAGCAAAGCTATCAACACAGTGAAGCGGATAAGAGAAAAAAATCTATAGCCAGTCTGCCTAGAAATCCAGCTCCGCCACTAATTGCCTATGTAGAGTTGAGCAAATTTCTTAATTTCTCTGATCTCAGTTTCGTCATGTGAAAAATAGGGATAGTAAGACGACCTATACCGTAGGATTATTGTTTAGGAAAAAATGAAATTACACACATAAAGTATTTAGAACTATGTTTCACGCCTCGTAAGCACTTAAAAAAATGTTTGCCCTTTTTTATTCTTGTCATCATCGTGTACACATACATGGGGGACTCAGCAAGAATTTGGACTTTAGTCTATGGACTGATTTCCTGAACATTCCTTCCTGGATTATTGGGACCTGCCTCTGAGGCCTTATTTTGTATTAGCACAGTTACAGCACGGTTAATTCTTCAATCTGATAAAGATGATCTGTTTTCCATAAATGAAAAAAAGAAGAAACCATAGCTGAATGCAATATTTTGGGCAAATAATAGGCCTGATGGAAGCCAGAAAAAGGAACTCTCTTATATAAAAATTATTGCATAGTGTATCACCTGAAATGAACATAGAGCCAATAGACATTTATTAAGTGAATATATGTGAGACTAACCAAATGTGAAGATGAGAACAAAGAAAATGAATGAATATATAACAGGTTCTATTCACACCCACTGAGATGGATTGACTGTGTTTGTGTGAAGGCGAGGGGGAGAGACTGAACAACATAAGGTTGAAGAGCTAGTTGAGCTCACCCTTCCCAGCAGGTCCTGTCTCCTCAGGCAGAGGAGAAAGTATCTGAGGAGGTGGGCATTCCTTGTGTCTGTAGGACATTACTTGTGTCTGTAGGACATTACTTGTGGTGTTACTTCTAATAGGGATCTGGGTCACAAATCCACAGTCAGCATTTGTGTCATCTGATTTTGAAAACCCACTTCACTCTTGAGCTGATTGTTTATTTGTGAAGGCAAGAATAGGGGAAGCTGGACCTCCCTGTTGGCTCAAGGGGTTAAACACAACACTATGTAGCTATCTGCGGCATCGGTAGCACAAGTTCGATCCCGGCCATCCAGGGAACTACCCACATGGTGCAGCAGACCTCTCCTGTCTCTCCCGCTGCTCCCCTCAGCAGTGTATTTCAGTCAGTCTGCCTGTTCTGTTCCCCACTCTGTCTCTGGTGAACCCTCCTCCCCCCCCCCATACATCTGGCCTGTATGCATAAATAAATAAATCTTGTATGCATAAATAAATAAATCTTTTAAAAAATGGGGAACCTTTCTTCATCTGACTTATTTCAACAGGATGGTCCTCTAGGTCCATCCCTGTTGTTACAAAAGATAAAATCTTATCTTTTTATAATAGCTGAATATTGCATTGTGTATATATGCCACATCTTATTTATTTATTCATTCATTGATGGGCACTAGGGTTATTTTCAAATCTTGGCTGTTTAAAATAATGCTGCAATGAACAAAGGAGAACATATATCTTTTTAAATCAGTATTTTCATATTCGGATAAATACCCAGAAGGAGAAGAGCTGGATCATATGGTATTTTTATTCATGATTTTTTGAGGAACCTTTAAATTGTTTTTCATAATGGCTGTACCAGTTTACATTTTTACTAACAGTGTGCAAGCATTCCCCTTTCTCCACACCCTTGCCAACACTTGTCGTTTATTGTCTTTTTTATAATTGCTGTTGATTTCACTCTTCTATGGAAGATAACAAAAACCGTTAGCTGATGTTACAGGGAAATGGCCGATTGGATGAGTAAATTGTATAAAGGGGTCAATTGCGTGGTAATAGAAGAAACTGGACTTTCCATGGTGATCATAATGTAGTATATGCAGATGCCAAATTATAATGCTGTACACCTGAAACCTATTACTGTTAGAAGGCAGTGTTACTTCAATGAAGTAAATCAGGGGAATCCTATCAAAGACTCATTTAGAGAAAGGAAGTTTAGAGCCATTTGAGACAAGAGGTTAAAAAAAAAAAGGAAATCCCTGAGGCTTAATGTTATAGCACCTATTTTCTTTCGCATTTTGTGATCCAAATGTTACCAACATTATTCCTTGTCTGCACGCTCCTATGGTGTAAGGTAGCAGTAGGTCAGTTTATCCACATTCTGTGTGAATCTATTGCTTTCCTACTTGGACCTATTTGATAATTCCTCTCTAGCAAGTGTATATACTATCCTATTGCCAGGGTGGTCATACCACCCACTCCTGATTATTCCTGCTGCCCTGGACTAACTGTTAATAGTGCTCCCTTCCACTGTCAAAAATGCCAACTTTGAGTGATAAATATGATCGTATAGGTTACTCCAATCTCTCAGGTCAGTGCTTCCACGTCTGACCTTTTTAACATTCCTTCTTCCTTAAGCCTCAGAAAATTCAGATTAATACCATATTACATACCGCCACCCTAGAAAGTACTCAAACAGGTTGTCAGAGATGACAAGAAGAATGGAGAGATACAGAAAGCAGTGGATAAGTGCTCCTTTGGCGAACAGGTTGCGTTTTCTATAGCTGCCCCTCAACTGGAAAACAGGGCAACTGCTGTTTAGTGGACATCTTAGTCTGGGTTGGAGAGTTTTTTGCCTTCATGGTGTGAATTTGGGGAATATGCCATATAAAATAATAGGAGGAAAGGGTACTTTTAAACTATGAATATTGTTGTTAATCTATGCATAGAGTAAGGAATGTTGATAAATTGGGGGAAATGTAAACTTTCCCGAAGGATCCAGGCTTAGGTTTGTCTAAAGTGTAGGTAGAGTTCCAAGAGAACAGGAGTCCCATGGCCTCTCAGTTCTTAATTGCTGAAGTTGTAAGAATAGCAGGCAAATGACCCATCTATTTACCAGGTGGCTCTACTTCAACTGACAACCCTGCTAGAAACTCTAGGGGATTAATATCGATTCAATACCCAAATAGCCAGGGCACTGTTGGAGCAAAATTCAAGTATTCTTCCCATTGGCATTTATACCCACAGCATGACCCCTGTGCAATAGCCTGTTCATCTCCCCACAGTTACACAACCCCCTCCTGCCTTGTGTCTGCAGGGGGCTGCTTCTAAGAACTGTGAGCATTATCCACCTAAGTCCTAGGTGTTAGGAATGCAGTCAGTTCGCTATGACCCCATGCACTGTTTTGTGTCTGTCTTGCCACGCAGGTGACATCAGTTGCAAGGGGATGACCGAGCGCATTCACAGCATCAACCTTCACAACTTCAGCAATTCCGTGCTCGAGACCCTCAACGAGCAGCGCAACCGTGGCCACTTCTGTGACGTGACGGTTCGCATCCACGGGAGCATGCTGCGCGCGCACCGCTGCGTGCTGGCAGCCGGCAGCCCCTTCTTCCAGGACAAGCTGCTGCTGGGCTACAGTGACATCGAGATCCCATCCGTGGTGTCAGTGCAGTCGGTGCAAAAGCTCATTGACTTCATGTACAGCGGCGTGCTGCGCGTCTCCCAGTCGGAAGCCCTGCAGATCCTTACGGCCGCCAGCATCCTGCAGATCAAAACAGTCATTGATGAGTGCACGCGCATCGTATCACAGAATGTGGGCGATGTTTTTCCGGGGATCCAGGACTCGGGCCAGGACACGCCACGGGGCACTCCCGAGTCAGGCACATCGGGTCAGAGCAGTGACACCGAGTCGGGCTACCTACAGAGCCACCCCCAGCACAGCGTGGACAGGATCTACTCAGCACTCTATGCGTGCTCCATGCAGAATGGTAGCGGGGAGCGCTCCTTCTACAGCGGTGCGGTGGTCAGCCACCATGAGACTGCCCTTGGCCTGCCCCGGGACCACCACATGGAAGACCCCAGTTGGATCACACGCATCCATGAGCGCTCACAGCAGATGGAGCGCTACCTGTCCACCACCCCTGAGACCACACACTGCCGCAAGCAGCCCCGCCCTGTGCGCATCCAGACCCTGGTGGGCAACATCCACATCAAGCAGGAGATGGAGGACGATTATGACTACTATGGGCAGCAAAGGGTGCAGATCCTGGAGCGCAATGAATCCGAGGAGTGCACGGAAGACACTGACCAAGCTGAGGGTACTGAGAGTGAGCCCAAGGGCGAAAGCTTTGACTCGGGAGTCAGCTCCTCCATAGGCACCGAGCCCGACTCGGTGGAGCAGCAATTTGGGCCCGGAGCAGCACGGGATGGCCAAGCAGCAGAACCTACCCAACCTGAACAGGCTGCGGAAGCCCCTGCTGAGGGCGGTCAACAGCCACACCAACTAGAGACAGGTGCCTCCTCCCCGGAAAGAAGCAATGAGGTAGAGATGGACAGCACTGTCATCACTGTCAGCAACAGCTCCGACAAGAGTGTCCTGCAGCAGCCTTCGATCAACACGTCCATTGGGCAGCCATTGCCAAGTACCCAGCTCTACTTACGCCAGACAGAAACCCTCACCAGCAACCTGAGGATGCCTCTGACCTTGACCAGCAACACACAGGTCATTGGCACAGCCGGCAACACCTACCTGCCGGCCCTCTTCACTACCCAGCCCGCGGGCAGCGGCCCCAAGCCTTTCCTCTTCAGCCTGCCACAGCCCCTGGCAGGCCAGCAGACCCAGTTTGTGACAGTGTCCCAGCCAGGCCTGTCGACCTTTACTGCACAGCTGCCAGCACCACAGCCCCTGGCCCCATCTGCTGGCCACAGCACAGCCAGTGGGCAGGGTGAAAAAAAGCCTTATGAGTGCACTCTCTGCAACAAGACTTTCACCGCCAAACAGAACTACGTCAAGCACATGTTCGTACACACAGGTGAGTGCAGGTGTCCCTGGAGGCCTGGCAGCTGGGCAAGGGTGAGGGAGGTGTGGGAAGGGAGGGACAGGACAGGACAGAGGTAGAGGGAAGGTTTGTTGACCTTTCAGATGTTAAGGAGACCCCACTGTCAGCCATCTTCTAGAAGCCCAGCTATGCCCTCTAAGGGCAGGACCCTGCCACCAAAAGACAAAGTCACAAAAACCCTTTATGGAGCAAGAAGGGCCAAATGGAAAAGTCTAATAATAAAGAATTTTCAGGCACAGTATCCCTTAAATCCATTGAACTATGTAATACTTTCTTTGATCTAGGTTGTTTAAAACTGGAGAACTTCTTGGAGACCATATATTCCAGTCACCTCATTACAGCCCAAAGTCATATAGGCAAAGCTGGGAAGAGAGTTTTAATCTGCAGTAAATTCAGCTTGAAAAGGTTAAAACAAGGCTGATGCAAGCTTAAGCCATATCTGTGGTCCCTGAAATGAAGAGAAGTGCTAGACTCACTTTACTTTCTATTGCTTATCTGTTTTCCACATCTAGAGACCACAGTCTACACTGGGTACTACCTTTTTGAAAAGTGACAGGCTAGCTGGGACATGATTATGAGGAATATGATTAGGATGGTGAAGGGACACAAGACTATGATATGTGAGTGAGTTGAAGGTCTTAGGGATGTTCAGCCTGCAGAAGAGAAGACTCTTGGTGTTTTGTGAGTCGTGTCATGTATGCTTCAAGGGCAGCATAGTGTAGTAGTTACACTGGCACTCTGGGTCCAGGCTGCCTGGGCTTAAATGTAGACTTAACCACTACTGAACTGTCATCTTGGGAAAATTACTTGATTTTTCTATACTTCAGTTTTCCTTGTCTGTAAAATGGGAATAATAGTGATAAAACTTTCTTATAGTGCTGTTTTGAGGTTTGAATGACATAATATATGTGAAGTTCTTTTAAAAATTCCTGGTACTAGTAAGCATTCTATAGATGGTCGCTGCTGCTAGCATTATTAACATTATTTAAATGGTTAAGAGGGAAGAGATACTATGTTTGTTCTATTTGACTATAAATGGTAGAACTGGAAACTATGGATTCTTTCAACCAAGTAAAAGGAAAAATTTGTTAGCTGTCAGAGCTGCTATAAGAAGGGATAGCTTACCTCCACAGGAAATGAATTCGCGTAATTAGAGGTGTTCAAGGAGAGAATCTATGATCATTTTCTGGGGATCTCATAGAAGGCACTCAATCATCAGGTGAGCAGTTGGGCAAGATGGTGTTTCCTCCCAGATTCTCTGATTCTAGCGCTAAGATCTCCAGACCTCCCAGCCATTGCCCCATAATAAAGCAGACATAGAATTAGAAGCTCTATTGATAGGCTTCCATTTAAGTCACTGTAAGTATAATTTTAGAGATTTCCTTGTACCAAATAATGCCTACCTATCCCAGCGATGGCCACTGAGTTTGCAATGCCTATCATCAGAGTCACTCCTGTGATAAATCTCTGGTATCAGACTACACTATTAAATGATAAATAAATTTCCAGGGGAAAGGTGCATACTTGAGTTACAATACATGAAAATAAAATAGTTCCTCAAAGCAACGTTGTTTCTCAAGCTAACAGGAATCTAAGGAATAGGACATAAAGCACATGAATTTAAATTGGGGGGTAGAAGGGAAGCAGAGCACCAGACACTCAGACAAGGTACCAAGCCTGGAAGTACCCAACTGAAATCATTGCTTAGGATAAACTCTGCCTTCTTTGCAGTTCAGCACAAGTCAGGGCACTGTATAAATCTGTGTGCACGCTGTTATGTGAATCAGTTGTTCTTAAAGATGATAGTTTTCATACTCTAAAATAAGCATATGACTCACTATTGAATTTAGGAAGAATATCAGGTAGTGGTAGGTTATCGTTTACTTAGGGTAAATGTGAATGCACTAGTAATCAGATCAATCAAGGTAAATTTTCCTGTGGTACAGGTATTATCATTATTTGACAAATAGTAACATTTTTATTTATGTGACAATTGGCTTACAGAACGCTCTCATATAGTTTATTTTCTTTCTTCAACTGAGTAGCTGTTCTATAAACCTTCATATTAAGAATTAGGGCTAAAAAGAGACCAATTTACACAAGTATCTACTTAGCCAAAGTTGACTTCGCTGGTCTTAAAATCCATAAATATTTCTACTGTCCCCTTTCATGCATTTCCTCCACAAGACCTAGCAGATACAGAATTTGCATTTATTTTAGATCATGTGTTGAAATAAGAATTTACATTTGCACCATAAAATTTTGAGTGCATTACCAAAATTTGTCTTTTTTACCCAATGAATTCACCAAAGGATTCTGTGGTTAACCCAAATAACTAGATTTACCCATGAGAAAACCAGTAATGGGTTTGCACATGTAGACATCATAGATACGAAAGCTCAAGTAAAGTCATTTATAAGCCTGAATTAACTCAAAGTGTAGCCTTCAGATCTCCAGTAAATTATGCAGGTTCTCAGTGAGTTATGTTTTTTGTATGGATGTTTATAACACTGCCACATCTGGGAATAATCGATAATGTGTGTGTGTGTATATATATACATATCACTGAAGCACCTATTTAAAAGAAGCAAAACTCATCCCTTTCACCACAGAATTATTTAGCAATGGCAGTTTAGAAGAGAGCCATTTATCAAAACTTTTGTCTAACTAAGGGAGTTCATAACCAAACAAAGTTTAAAGAACAATTGGTCTAGAGTTCCAAAAAGCAAGAGAGACTGAACATATGGAAGTAATGCAAGACCTGGGTTCACTGTGGCCCACATTTCAAAACAAAGTTCTATCCAATATCTTGGGGAAAGGAAAGTATTAAAAAAAAAAAGAAGGGAACTTCCCAACTATACAGCAGCCAAGGGGAAATCATAAAAATCCAAAGCAAAAAGGCCAAATGTTGGTTTAAAGAGATTCTAGAAAGAACTGAACATACTTAGAAGAGTAGAGACAGCTTCATTAATCTTACCTATAATCTAATTGAAAAGAAATTCTAGCAAGAAAAGTTGACAGAGATAAAAGGAAAGAAATTTGGGTTTTCTGTATCACCACTGGCTTAGCAAGCACTTCAATAACTCCAAGGTTTAATGTAAATAATACTTGCTTTCATCAACTGCAGAGAATCAATTCTGAGATCTGGATTCCAAAAAAAAAAAATCCTATGTAGCTTTGTACTAATGATCCACAAATTTATTGAAAGCAAGTGTTTGAGACAAATAAGAGATATATCATGTCCACATTGGGGGCTAAGCTCTACCTTCAAGAACTAAGGAGCCCTGGTTATAAAGCATATTCCATAATGATTATAACTCTAAAACTTAGGTGAGTACATACATGAAAGATGAATGTACTGAATTATATTATTTGGATTTAGTTTTGGTTCCTCTAATTGGATGTGTGGCCTTAAGCAAGTCACTTAATTTTATAACCCTCAATTTCTTTGAGTTTAAAATGGAAATAATTTTCTTGCCTTTTGAGTAGCTATAAAGGTATAAGAGCTTTTCATAAAAGACAAAGTACTACTTAATACTTTTTTAAAAAATTGTCATTACGTCACTTTAGCCCCCTCCACCCAACAAGACATTGAGTCTCCTTGCTCTGTCTCCCACCTCTGAATAATAAGCTGCAAATGTGGTTCCTTCATCTATGAAATTCAAATACTGCAGCAATATAATACTCTTTGGGTTTCCCTTGAACTTCCTTCATAAAATGAACATTTTTTATTCCTTAATGATTTTTTTAAAAAGCAAAAGAAAATCTCACACCTAAACACTTTATCTACTACCAAATAAACCACAGTAGAACTTCATTTCGTCTAGAGTTTCTCATGTTCCTTTACTAAAGCTTCATAAAAGTTATGAGAAAGGAAACCAAAAGCTAAGGATGTATTTGGAAACAAGAAAATTAGAGAAAAATGTAAATAATACCATCCTGCCATGAAACAAAGTATGACTCTTCTGTGCCCACTCTCCTCAAGAGAAAAAACAAAAGGAAATGGGATGAAGGAGAAAGACAGGGGACAAAGAAGGATAAGCTTTGGTGTCAATGTGAATGTGAAAGGCAAGCAATAGAGAAAATTCAAAAATAATCTAAGAGCAGTGGTGGTCAAAGTGTGATTCCCAGTACCAGCAACATGCAAACTTTCAGACCTATCTCAGACCTGAATCAAAAGCTGGTGATTCAACAGGTCCTGACTTACACTAATTTGGGAATCACTTCCCTAGAGGGACTGAGTGATTCAGAGGAGGACAGCACCAGATTGCTTCTCTACATAAAATTGCTCTCTAATATTTCCCCAGTAAGAATCTTCGTATCTGAGAAAAGTAAACCAGAGTTAAGGATAATGGGTTGACTTCACAGTAAGTAAGTTTTATTTTGGAGGCAATATAAGACACGGGAAGTTCACCCCTCACCCTTGAGAGTAAACTAAGTCTCCTAGACTGCAAAGGTACCATGACGAATGTACTCTTTCTGGCACTTGACAGCACTTGGCTTGTATTATCATTATATGGGTGTTAAAATGTGAACTCTGTAAAAGAAGAAACAATCAGATAGGTAGGTAGGTCGGTAGGTAGATAGATAGGCAGACAGACAGGTTGATTTGTACTTCAATATATCCAGCATAATATCTTATATATAATAAATATTTGACCAAAAATTGAATTCAGTCCTGCCATAAGGATGTCTAATCACTTCTAAAAAAGGTAACTAGTCTGTTTCCCCAGAGCTGTTTATTGTGTGACGTATAGTTCCACTGAGCTAATGCAAAATACTTTGCATATTTATATATTAAATACTTTCTACAGTAATATGGGCTTGTTTCAGGTACCATGCTCTATTTGTTCTTACCTTGCTCTGTATAACAAAATAGCATACTTAATAGTAAGATTGACCAGGATGGCATTAGGCTTATTTAGAGAGTACCAGATTTAGGGTTGCCATATTTAGAAAACAGAAATACAGGA